GGGGGGGGGGGGGGGGGGGGGGGGGGGGGGGGGGGGGGGGGGGGAGGGAGGAAGAGGCAGAAGGAGGGAGAGAGTGAGAGGTGCTCAATCACTTCGATTCGTTTGTCCCCATATTTGAGAAGCGCCGCACTGCACGGACTTCTCCTGCTGCGCAGCCTTCATCCACCCACTCGAACTTTCTTCAAGCGAGATCATTTCGCCCCCCGTAAGTGAATACCTAACTACTTCATTATTCACTGCTCCCCGCAACGACGAACCCGATTCTCAAGCGCGGGCGGGGCGGACGTTCAGGGCCACACTGCCCTATCCTCAGGGGAACCACGGGAGAGATTTTCTAGCGGAATGCCGCCGCCGCCGCCGCCGCCGCCGCAGCCATCCTCATTCAACCTTGTTTACCGATGTTAAACGTGTTGCGTGTTCGGCCCGCGGTGTCGGACGCAGTTCTGGGAGTCGGCGATGCGTTTCCCGCCGGCTCTTGAGGCGTTCGATCAGTACGGAGGCGTGTCCAAGCTTGTCTATCTCCTGCTCCCAACCGGGCAGGTCAGGAAGTTAAAAGTATTCGGACCCTGAGTAGGTAGTCAACCCTGCCTGTTTTTTGTTTTCCCCTCAGCTTGTTTGATTTTTGGGGCCGCGGCATCTTTGTTTTAGGAGAAAGGAGGGGGGAAAAGGACCATAGCGAACCGAGTGTTGTAGCAAGGACTGCCGAAGTGTAGATAGCGCAAGGTTATATTTTTTTCTCGTTCGCGCTCGCCTGTTGCATTCGCGCGACTTGATGTTTTTCATGCAAAGGTGGGTCCCTGTTCCCTGGACGACTTCCTCTGCGCACTACTTGCTTTAGCACTGACACGAACGTACCCACCTGTTCCTCAACCTTCGTCTGCACGTCTCCAATCGCGTTGCAGAGCTACCCGGACGGGGCTGCTGCTTCTGGGACGGGCGCGGGCGGCCGCGGTCGCACCGTCGCCGCTGCCACCGGTACAGAATCCACCGGCGCAAGCGCACGCAGCAACGGAGAATCGTCGTCACCCCCCAGGCAGCGGATACGGTGGTGGCGCAGTTCGCTCGATGCGCCCAACGGCGGCAGTGGTCTTGCTGGGGGGCAGGGGCAAGGTGGCGGCAGTTCCTCGGCGACGCCCCATCGCCGTACGCAGGTGACTCTGGGCGCTTGCGGTTGCGTCCGGCAGTACCTCAGGTGCAGCCTCGCGCTCGCCGTGCTCAAGCAACGGGGGGGCTCCGCGGCGGCGGGCGGGCACGTCTCCAGGTATCACCACCACCAGCAGCAGCAGCGTGCGCGTCGAGGGAGCGATTCGTTGTCGGAGGCGGCGGCGGCGGCGGCAGGAGTAACGCCTCCTTCACCGTCTTTGTCGCGGGCGCCCGGGCGACAGGCCTGGCAGTGCAAGCCTCTGGCAGTAGATGACGCCAGCCACGCGGCGAATGTGGCGGCGGTGAAAGGGCAGGGAGGGTTGGGGGGCGGCGGGGAAGGAAGGACGGCGGCGGGCGTGAGGGACAGGGAGGCCGTGACCGTGCGGCTTGGGATGCAGTGGTCCCCGGCGGTACAATTGATGCACCATCGTGGCATGCAGGTGTGTCCTGGTAGAGAGGGGTCTCCGGATTATGTAGTTACATTGCTACTCTTCATACTGCAAGGGTCATCCCATGTTGAGTAAGACCGAACATCTCATGCCTTTGTGATTCCTAAATCCAAGCACCGCTGGGTCGCCTTTTGTCTCCCGACTGCCCAAGTGGCGCCGCTGTGCGTGCTCTGTCTGTCTCATCTGTGTGCGACCGCCTTCCCGTTGTACCGCAGGCGCTCATCAACGTGGTGGACGCTATGTTGAGCCAGAGGACGGGGGCCGAAGCTGTGGTATACGCGCTCGATGCCCTCGGGACAGCAGCTCTCTGCCCCCTGGTGCGTGCGTCGTGGTCGATGTTGTTGCCTGTGGGGTGTTTGTTGTCGTGGCTGCCTTGACGTTAGAGACCGCTCTGACCCCTCTGTCCAGTGCACCACGTGTATGTCATGCCCTTCCGAAAAACAACAATTTACCATGACAATTTGATATATCATCTTGGATACCCCCCCCCCCCTCATTTCATCAAGTGAGTTTTCCTTTCCGCCGCAAGAGAGACAAACGCCTCCTTGGTCTTAGCTGACTCCAACTGGTGATGGCATGCATTAAGTAACATGGCCACTAGAGAGGGAAGAGTCTCACCAGTCGTGCGCGCGCTTGTTGGTGCTTCTTTTCATTGGCATGTTCCTGATACACCTGGCAGCAAGAATGATATGGTGCAAGGAGCATTTCAACCGCTCTCGAAAACTGCTGTGCCCCCCCCCCCCCCCCCCCCCCCCCCCCCCCCCCCCCCCCCCCCCCCCCCCNCCCCCCCCCAAGTATTGTAGTCTGCGACGCTCCTTCGAACGGCAGACATGCGTCCTCTGTAAGCTGTGTCGTTGCCGCTTGTGGGCAGTGGGCACCCAAGCATACGGCAAACCGTTGACGCCAACAACCTCCACCCGCACTTGGTGTCACTACTGCTGTGGGCACAGACGTAAACAGCGAACCATAACCGCCAGCAAACTCTACCCACACTCGATACACATCAACGAACGAACGAACGAACGAACAATTCTGCTGCCGGCCTACACCACGTCTCTTTTTAGGTTTACCCGGAGTTCTGCCGCGCGGGCCCCAACTCCCCCGCGGGCGACGGCGAGCGGTCATCGTCCACTCCCGCCCGCGACGGCAGCGACGGTGAAGCCGCACGATCGCAGCCCCCGCTGCCGCCGCAGCCCGGTGGCGGTAGGGCGTCCTCCGGGAGCGGGGGGCGCCGTGGCGCAGGCGGAAGAAGCGCGAGGCGTGGCGGTGGTGGGCGGTCGGGGGAAGGTGATGAGGGAGGAGGTGGGGGCGGCAGCGGGGGAGGAGCGCTCCCGCGCAACCGTCTGGGGGTGGACGTGTTGCTGGATGCGGCGGCGGGGGTGCGGCAGAAGGATCCGGGGGTGATGTGCGCCGCTCTGGATGTACGTACCCGACTGACCCCCCCTCCCCCTGCGGCATACATGGCTATGTGTATACCCCCCCCCCCTCTCTCTCAAGATCGAAGCCCCTTGCGGTAGTTGACGTTATTGTCGTGCCTGCCGAATGTGAGACGTTTAGTTAGCCGGGATGCCTTATCAACCCATGGCATACCTGGATTGGCACAGCAATCGCAGGGATGTCCAGCTTCTGGTTCATGCTTGTGAAACGTAAGTTGGGCCGACGAAAACCCGCTCCGTCCTGGCGTTTTAGGGATGCGAGGTCATTGGTCTACCTTCTACGTCGTGCGTTTTACAAGAGCACACACCCCCACACACGGAAAAGGACGGTACACTGCTCAGACACAGGGATGGCTTGCTTGTTGTGTTTTCCGCTCGTTTGTGTTTGGTGTGAGGAAGTTCGACTTTGACCTCCGTTGTGTGCGGTGTCGGTGTGGGTAGTGGTTGCGGAGGGAGCCTTGTCGCGCAGATGAGAGAGACACAGGCACGTGTTTCTGGCCGCCCCAGTCTCGCTGCTGCTGAGGGTAACGCTGTTTTGCGTGATCTGCAGCAGCCGTAGCAAATCTTTAAGAAACGTTGCAAGCAACTTCAAAACAGCAGATATATTTTTAGGTAGTGTCGCAGCTCAGAACGGAAGCCCTTTCGTCGCAGAGGATTCTTTATGTGCCCCCCAGGTCGCACCCCCTAAGTGGAAAAGGCAAGCCTGTATGACCAGGGACCATGCATACTCGACGTAACTGTAGGGAGGGGTTCTTAAAACGTCGCCAGAAACACCCAATACACATGTACAGCAAGCATTTTCTGTTTTCAGCCGCGCTAAGCCTGTCGTCTTTTCATTGGTCGGCCGGTCGGTGCCAGTGAACAAAGACACGCGCGCACGATCGCTCCCGCTTCGCCCCACCACCCCGCAGGTGCTAGACCGATGCTGTCGGCCGCACAAGGGGTGCGGGCCCTTGATTCAACCGGGAACGGCGACTTCCTCCTTCGCCGCCACCGCCGGCGGCGACTCAACGGCAACTCAGCCCGGCGGCGCCACCGCCGCTAGCAACAGTCACAGCGGCAACAGCAGCAGCAGACCTCTACACGACGGCGGCGGCGGCGGCAGTAACAGGTCGGGACCGGCTGCCGCAGCCGGAGGAAGAGGGGGCACCGCAGATGGGTGCGGGGGGGTCGTCGGGGCGGAGTTCAAGCGGCCCTCGGCGAGCGGCGACCCTGCCGTGGCAATCGGGTACAGAAACAACCTTCGCCTCGTCAGCGGCGGAAGAAGCTCGCCTAGGGGAGGCGGCGGCGGCGGCGGCGGCGTTACATTTGCCGCCGGGTCCCGGCGTGACGGTAGCGGTAGCGCACAAGGCAGCGGTGATTGCGTGGTGGACGACCGGCTCCAGCGCCCCATGCGCAAGCTGATCAGGGAGAGTAACGGGCTCCGGGTGCTCGTGGGACTGCTGCGCTACCGGAGGCAGGTGGTCGCCGCGGACGCCGTCCGGTTGAGGGCGGCGATGTGCCTCCTGGGTCTGGCCCACGACGTCCACATCGCGCAGGTTTGTTTCGCGCGAGCCATCGTAAAAAAGGTGTTTTTTTTTTTTGTTCATGGCGATCCCGTGCTCCGTTATGGGATGCGAGGCGTGTTACCGCTGTTGTTTTTTTTTTTTTGGGGGGTTGTGGAGGTCAGTCTTTGTTTTGCTCCTGGGATTTGATGGTGGTTCTGGATTTTTGCTGCGGTGCTGTTCTTGGTGCAAAGGAGGCTGGCTGCCTCGTTGTTTCTGGCCGTGCCTGCGACGTTGTCGGAGGTGCTGTTGTTGCGGCTGGGAGCCGGCACCGAGAAGTGGGTCGAGAGCTCGCACGCGGGGTGCTTGTGTGTGTGTGTGTGTGTGTGTGTGCGTTTGTTCTTGGCATCGACCGCGCTGAAGCAGTAGCCGACTTGCTTATCAGAGGACATCAGCCCTACCTTTTGTCGTTGTTGGCCGAAGGGGGGCGGAGGAGGTGACGGTGTACCCACCCTTTTTCGACCCTTGCTGCTTTTCCTTCTCTATTTGCTGATTATTTCTCTCCTGCCCTACCGTACCCTCGTCTACAATGCCCCACCCTCAGATGCTTGAGAAGATGCGCATCACCGCCACCCTGAGCGACACCGTGCGTGCGGGCCCAGTGGTTGGCAGGTGCGCTTGTTTCCGTCTGCATACCGAGTAGATCATTCCGACCACAGTTGTTGCGAGACAGACATTTGCTGGACCCGTTCGCTGGCACAGCAGTTGCATTGCGATGGAATCGTAAGCTTTTCTGTTCAAAGACACGCCGCACGCAGACCTCTTGTTGTTGTTTTAGCATGTGAAGTCGTTAGAATGTTCTCACGCATACAAACTTCGACCTGAAGTTGTTGCGACTTTTTTTACCGTCCCCGAAAGGATGCCGTCTTTCCAGACTAAATTTTTCCGAGGCAAACGCCTGAAAGACTTTACTACACCTTCTAAGCCCACAACTCGTGTTAAGACTGACAAACGTTATTTACGACTAACGCCTCCGTTATTTTAGACCAACGCGCCTTCCTTGTTGTGCCGCCTATTAATAGTTTGCAGGGTCGATGCCTGACAACCAAAACACGCAGAAATCGTTTCTTGTTACATCGTTTTGTTTCGTTTTTCTTTTCTTCATCGCTTGGCGGGCGTAGGAACGTGGAGACGTACTCCAAGTTGCGGGAAGCGGCCAAGCAGATTATCGCGAGGGTCGCCGGCCGGTTAAGCGGCACGGTGGGCAAGAGCGGCCTCATGGACCCGGCGGTAACCGGCCTCGAGCGAGCCGCTGTCGTAGCCAACACGCCCATAACCTTCAGGTCGAGGGAGCTTCTGGGGGTGAGCGTGTTTTTTGCACGGATTTGACTTCGTTGTGTAATTCCCGATTTTGTTTTGTTTGTAGCGCGGGGCGAGCCATCTTTCGTGAGGGCTATGGTTCAGACAACAACAGTCGTTTTTCCCACATGAGAAAGGCTGTACCCTGTTTTTTTTTGCAGCAGGAAGTGGGGAACGTGTGAGCTGCTGCTAGTTGTTGCGCGCGAGAGAGATTCGTCAATCATTACTCTCGGCATTGTTTGTTGGTCGCTTTTGAGTCCTCCTAACGGAATTGCGTGAGGAAACATCTTAGCGCTCGTTTTCTCCGTCGTCTCTCAAGGCTCTAACAACCCCCCCTGCGCCCACTATCTTCCTCTCAACACACGGGACACTCGACAGATCATCCACGAATACCTCGCCGCCAACGGACTCGCCGGCGCCGCGGAGGCGTTGGCCTCAGAAGCGGGGATAACGCCGGGCATGACGGCGGCGGCTGGCGGCGGCGGCGGAGCGGGCGAGTCTCCCCTCCCTAGCTACGCCGCCGCCGCCGCCGCCGCCGCCGACGGGTGGAGCGGCGGCGGGACAAGCGCCCCGCTAGCGACGGAATCGGCGGCGAAGCTATTGCCACCTGCGCTGCTGTCGCCTGCCTCTTGCTCCGCCGGCCCGGAGGCTGACCGGAGGAGAGCTGGGGGGAGGAGCGGGGGTAGCCGTGATGGCAACCCCGAGGGGGACAAGAAGGGCGGCGCTAGGGGGGTTAAGCGGTTGTCCTTTTCCACGGCGGCGGCGGCGGGGGGAAAGGGGAAGGGCGTCGCCGCGGGATCAGGCGGCACCGGCGGCGGCGGCGGCAAGAAAGGGGGGGAGGCAAAGGCGGGGACGGCATCATCGTTGAAGCGGTCGACCTCTCGCTCTAGAAGTTCGGCAGCCGGCTATCCGGAGGGGGAGGGAGCGGGGGCCGCGAAGCGCCCTAGGCTCGCGAACCCCGACGCCGGTCCAAGCACGGAGGTTGGCGACTCAAGTCATGCCGACGATGGTGATGAGCCCAAGAGCAAGCAAGTAAAAGAAGAACATGATGCGGCAGAACTGAGGGATATCGGCGGTAGCGGTCGCCCGGCCCCCCGCACCCGCGCCCGCTCCCCCGCCATACCGGCGATGACGCCGATGGGGCGAGCGGGAAGGATAGCCGCCGCTTTCTCGTCGCCGAGCTACTTCGGCGATTGCGGCGCCGGGCGACATAGCGGGAACCCTGCGGCAGCCTCCGGTCACCGACGACGGCCGCCGCCGGGCGGTGTCCCGCCGAAGGCGGGCGCGACGCCGGGAAAGACCTCTTCCCGGGCAGAAGGAGGGGGCGGGAGCGGGAGCGGGGGGGGGCGGGCGCGAGCGAAGCCGGAGCGGTCGTCATCTACGTCGTCACGGCCGAGTACCGCCTGCTCCTCTCCGTTTTCCGGCGGCGGCGGCTGCTCGTCGTCGTCTGCGAGCGTCGCCGCGGGCCGGGGGAAGCGCTCTACGAGGACGGCGACGGCGACGGCGGTCTCCTCGGTGCCTGCTGCTGCTGCCGCCGCCGCCGCCGCCGCCGGCGGTGGGGGTGCTTGCGCTGGTGGCGTTACCGAGGGACGGGGGGCGATGACGACGCCCCGTGTCGCCGGCGGCGAGCGGGAAGACGGCAGTTGGGCGGCGGCACCGCCAGTAGGGACTCCGCGTAGTCTTTACAACAACGGCGACCCGTCGGTGTCACCGTGGACGGCGACGGCGGCGGCGGCAACAGCCCCTTCGGAAAAGGGTGGTTGCAGACGCGGAGGGAAAGGTGCCGGTTCGCTCGAGAGCCGGCGCGGCGGCGGAGGCGGCCAGCGAGGAAGAGGAAGAGGGACCATAGCAGTCGGCGGCGGCGGCGGCGGCGGCGGTGGCACTAGGCGAGAAGGCGGCGATGGAGCTGCTCCTGCTGTCGCGGGAACGACGGCTCTCGACAAGATCGTCACCAGCTTCTTGAGGAACCAGCACGAGCGGTGCTCGGATCCCATTTGCGTGTTGCCCCCGCTGTCGCTCTCCGAACCGCACCAGTGCCCCGGGAGGACTCCCGCGGGGGCCATGGGATCCGGGGCGCCCCCGAACGTTGCAAAACGCGCGCTTGCTTGGCAGGTTGGTGGGGTGCATGCATGTATACTGTATCTCCGTGTGTCTTGTGTGACACTATCAGACGCCACACGCCCTTGACCGAATTTCAAAGCTCGGATTACTCCACGATGAAGAGGATGCATGTAGTTGAAACGGTGGTAAGCGCGGTAGACCTTTCGTGAAGGACTAGCTGGGCAAGGGAGGAGGAACAAGATGTCGTTCGGATAGCGTAAGGTGCGGTTTAGTAAAGCCGGGTATTTCACATGTGGTTGAAAGTGTTGCTCACATCCTATGAACTAACGTACGGATGCGTCGTGCATTTTTAATTGTTGTTCGGGCTTGCATGGGTGGGTGTGCTCCCATCAGTGAAGGAAGGCTACGTGAAGGCTCAAGCTTGAATTGAATACCCCGACGATCTGATCAGCATCGTGCGTGGGTATGCGGGTGACAAATTTACGGCCTTCTCGTCCACACTACATACGTAGACCGAGGCTTTCTTTTCCATACTACGTAAAACGAGGCTCAGGCGTTGTATACGGTCTACGGTTTCGTGCCCAGCAAGATAGTGACCCGTGACCCGTGACACGGAAAAGGGTTGTGACCCGTGAAGACTTTCGCAAGAAGGCGGAAAAGGGTCCTGATCCATCATACTTTGAGTGAAACTTACAAAGCACCTCCCCCACCTTCATGCGACTCGCCGAATACCTCACGGCGCTTCGCGCTTGGTGATGTGAGAGCCTGGTGCGGTGAGAACCCGGTGTGCTCCGTCCTGGCTTTGTAGGGATGCGAGGTCAATGGTCTAACGACTACGGCATACACGACTATGAGTACACCCCCTCCCCCCCTTCTCCCCCGTCTGCCGCCCCCCTCCCTGCAGGCGGTACCACCCCTGGGAGGAAGGGGAGGCGCTCGACTACAAAAAGAGTTCGTTTACTCCCGGTTCCGGCGGATCCGATCCATACAAGACCCGGAAGATGTCATCACTGCTTCCTCGTTTGCCAGGAGGCCTGGGGGGGGCGCCAGGTGGATACTCCTAGTCGCTTGCTGGGGGGATGAAGTAGCACTTGAGGGTGAATGTGTTGGGATCTGGTAGAGGGAAAACCTGGGGCGAGAGTTAAAGTTGTGACCCGTGACACGGAAGGAAAATACGAAAAAACGAACAAGTAGTGTTCCTCGGCCTGGGACGCTACCGCTGTCGCTGTTGTATCGCAAGTGTGCACGTACAAGCAAACCAACTGCTGGTACAACTGTTACAATGCTCAGGTTTCGTTGTTTTTGCGCGGGCAACAAACGAGGCGAGCTGGTCACAAGACAAAAAGACGTCAATCGCGAGTTGCCTCCACCGCTGTTGTTCCACATTTTTGTGTTTTGGTTGGTTCGTTGGTCAAGGTAGGCAGTAAAGCGGCGGTACGGTGAGACCAGACGCGAAAGGGGAACACTTGTGAGCTCCAGAAGCACCTGTTCAGAAGTACACTGGCACAATGCAGTACGCGGGCTGTTTCGGGCACCAGCATCGCAACATCAGGGGATGGGTGCAAGACCCCCCCCCCCCCCTCCCTATACCTTCAGCCGCTTGTGGGTCGGCACGCACGTTGGAGTTGTGAAACTCTGGGAGACGTTTTCGATGAGCGTCGAGGGACGATGGCGAGTGAGCCAGCACCCGGTGACGAGCATCGAGCAGCACCCGGGGGACAGTAGAGTCGGCCGGAGGTTAGTACGTCATTGTTGGGAATTTTGTCGGAGCAGGCTTGTATTTTTTTTTTTTCGCTTGATATATTATCGGGCGTCCCCAAAACTGAAGACTTAGAAAATAACCCAAACCGAAACCAAAACACACACACCTATAGATAGAGTGGATTGCGACGGATTGTTCTTATCGTTGCCATTGGTCGGTTTGTTGCTGTTGTCGTCGCCTTGGTTTCTGCTTTTTCGGTCGAGGAGATCGGTAGCTAAGCGTTCGAGGCTTTAACACCGTGTCTCGTCATTTTACACCTGGCGACGCACACATCTCTCGATCGTGTGTCCAACGGCGCACTTCGATGGAAACAGGTTTGGCGCGTAGAACGTCAAGATAAGTGAGTGAAACCACGTCACCTCCATGATATGGTCAGTTTCCTGTGCTCAGTGCTTCAACCGCAGCCATGAGTGTTGAACCTGGTGTCATAAAATGTCCCTGCGAAACGGGTTTATGCAACCACCGCCATCAGCATTGTGCCCTAGGCCCTCGAGGTTATATCCCAATGGAGACCTCAGGAGAGTTTCAAACCCTGCCCTTGAGAACCTCCTATCGTATGCAGCACCGTCTCATGCCATAATGGCGACATCGAGATTCGAAAACCGACCTGCCAAAGGTATGGTTTCTGTTGCAGTCTTCGACCTTGCAGGCACCGTGCCTGGGAGGTCAAGGGGCTTTCGATATGGAAGCAGACTACGTGCCCAGCTGGTGCTTTCAACCGAACCCGCTTGCACCACGCAGATAGCCACCCACCTAGCAAATGGGTGTCCACAACGCTGACTGGGGGAAACATGTGGTTGTGTTTCCATTCAACTTACGTTAACGTATCTCCAAGTTGTCGTTGAATAGTGTTGTTGATGCTCTCTCTCTCTTATCGTTGAAGAGTCTGACAGTTTTCTCTCTGCATCTCTTCCCCCCCCCCCCCCCCCCCCCCCCCCCCCCCCCCCCCCCCCCCCCCCCCCCCCCCCCCCCCCCCCCCCC